CTAACAAAATGGATTTCAAACTAAAATCAGTCAGAAGAGATGGAGAAGGACACTTTAAAATCTTAACAGGAACACTTCATCAGGATGAAGTCTCAATCCTGAATATCTATGCCCCTGATATAAAAGCACCCCAATATGTAAAAGAAACTTTACTAGAACTCAAATCACACATCAAACCCTACACACTAATAGTAGGAGATTTCAACACTACTCTCTCACCAATGGACAGGTCAACCAGACAGAAACTTAACAGAGAAATAAGAGAACTAACAGATGTAATGAATCAAATGGACTTAAGAGACATCTATAGAACATTCCACCCAAAAAGGAAAGAATATACCTTCTTCTCAGCATCTCATGGAACCTTCCCAAAAATTGATCACATACTCGTTAACAAAGCAAACATCCACAGATACAAAAGAATTGGAGTTACCACCTGTGTCTTATCGGATCACCATGGAGGAAAGCTAGAATTTAACAATTCCACCCCCAGAAAGCCTACAGACTCATGGAAACTGAACAGTCAACTCCTGAACCACCCCTGGGACAAGGAAGAAAGAAAGAAAGAAATTAAAGCCTTCCTTGAATTCAACGAAAATGAAGACACAACATACCCAAACCTATGGGACACTATGAAAGTGCTAAGAGGAAAGTTCATAGCTCTAAGTGCCCACATGGTCTACGAGAGCTAGTTCCAGGACAGGCTCCAAAACCACAGAGAAACCCTGTCTCGAAAAACCAAAAAAAAAAAAAAAAAAAAAAAAAGAAAGTGAAGAAAACTCACATTAGAAACTTAACAGCACGCCTGAAAGTTCTTGGGGGGAAAAAAGGCGAAGGCTAACCCAGGAGGAATAGAAGACTGGAAATAATCAAACTGAGGGCTGAACCAACAAAATAGAAACACAGAAAACAATCCAAAGAATCAATGAAACAAAGAGCTAGCTCTCTGAGAAAATCAACAAGATTGACAAACCCTTATGCAAACTAATCAAAAGGTGGAGAGAGAACACTGAAATGAACAAGATCACAAATGAAAAGCAGACATAACAAAAGACACTGAGGGGCTGGAGAGATAGATGGCTCAGAGGTTAAGAGCACTGGGCTGCTCTTCCAGAGGTCCTGAGTTCAATTCCCAGCAACCACATGGTGGCTCACAACCATCTGTAATGAGATCTGGCGCCCTCCTCTGGCATGCAGGGATACATCAAGGCAGAATGTTGTATACATAATAAATAAATAAATCTTTAAAAAAAAAAGACACTGACTCAGAGAATCATTAGGTCTTACTACAAAAGCCTGTATTTCACAAAATTGGAAAATGTAAAAGAAAAGGACAATTTTAAGGTAAATACCATATACCAAAATTATATCAAGATCAGGAGAACAAGTTAAAGAGACCTATAAGTCGCGAGGAAATAGAAGCTGTCATCTAAACCCTTACTGATACAATTTTAAGATCAATTTTGGTATACCACGTGCATAATTTTACTCTTGTTTAAGGTTTTATGTTTATGCAGCTCATTTAAAATGTAATGTATAGTGAAAATACAAATCAACTGCTATCTATAATAGTGAAACTCACTCAAAATAATCACACAGATACTGTATTCATTAAAACATTCCTTGGCCCTATAGCTCTAGTTTCTTAGTGGCTAATTCTTACATATTAATTTAACTCATTTCTATTAATCTGTGTATCGCCATGTGACAGTGGCTTACCGGGTAAAATTCCCAGTGTCTGTCTCCTGCAGATTCATGGCGTCTCTCCTCATACTGCTTTCTCCCTCCCAGAATTCAGTTCTGTCTTCTCTGCCTACCCAAGTTCTGCCCTATCAACAGGCCCAAAGCAGTTTCTCTATTAACCTATAAAAGCAACAGAAAGACAGAAGGACCTCCTACAAGAGTTGTTGTTAACTGAAGTATGTCAACCAAGAACATGGTTTTTGTGCTTAAAAAAATCACCCTGAGAAAGGCTCAGTGCTACACTGCGAACCCACACACCCAGTGTAGTCGATGGCCAGCTAAATAAACTTACTGTTGGCTTAAACTCAAGTCTGAGCAGTCTTCTCTGATGAACACCCCACAGCAAAGGAAATAACCAACAGTCATCTCATTATGATTCCTAATTATGGATGTGGTGTGGCCAACTGTTTTAAGCTCCTGCTGTTTTGACTTTCTGCTGTGATGGACTGTGTTTAGCTCTGGGCTGATATAAATCTTTTTTCTCCCTTGAATTCATTTGATCAGGTTATTTTATCACAGCAACAGGAGAAAAGAAACTAAGGCAACACTTCTATGGTCTATTGAGAGGTAGAGAAAGGGTTAAGGTCTAGTTGGGGGAAGTGGGCTATTAAAAGCTATCCTTGGCAGCTTTATTTGTCTTTGTACCCACGCCCTTTCTACCTACATTAAAGGGTCCAGCTTGCTTCACTATGTGCTCTTCACCGCAACATTCAACTGTAGATTAGAAAACCTCTTTTGAAAATTACTTATAGATCAGGACCAGGGGCACAGAGCAGACTCCTGAGATCCCTGGGCACTTTTACCAACACTATTTGCTTATCTTACCAAAGCATAAGAAGCTCCAGTTACCGCAACCAGTTTCAAGAATCTTGACCTCATATATGAATAACAAGGTTTCGATAAGAAAGGCCCAGGCTCCTCCATCCCTCTTTGCTGCCTATACTCTTTGTGCCATGGTCAGCATTACAGGAAGAGGTGTCCAGATGGCATTCCATAAGCAACACAGAAGAGGATCACGGGAAGCACTGGATAGATTGGTCAGAGATTTAGAGCACTTGCTGCTCTTGAAGAAAACCCAGTTTAGTTCCCAGCACCAACAGGGTACCTCTCAACCATCTGTGACTCAAATTCCAAGGGTTCTGTCTCCCTCTTCCGGCGTTTACAGCTACCAGGCAAGCATGTGGTGCACATACATGCGTGCGTATGCATATGCACACACACATATGCACACATGTGCACACAGGGACAAATAGTCATACATATAAAATAAAAATAAATCTGGACAAATTCCCAGCTGAAGCTTCAGTAAGGAAGATTACCATTTTTACGCTCATCTAGTCCATATCACTTTCTGACATGATTCTTTCTTTAAAAAAAAAAAAGCAGAAAAAAAACTTTAAGAGAAATAAAATAGTTCCACCCACAAAATATGTTTTTCTATAATCTGAATGTAAAGGACCAGTTTTCCGTGTGGCCTTCCCATACACATTTAGTTATTTTTACTCTTTCCACACAACCACTTGTCTTGCCCCATCTCCTTGCCCCCCTCCCCACTTGTTCATTGCTAGCCGCAGTATTCCGCTTTCCACCTTCATATCACATGTGTCCTAGTTCTGTTACCTTCTTTATCCACCTCCTTGGTGCTTCTTTCCCCCTTTTGTGGGCCCCTTTACAGTTTCCTGTTCTCTACCTACACTTAAGCCAAAATATACACATAGAAAAGTTAAAAGTCAGGATCCACATGAATATGAGGTACTGTATTTCTGATCTGGATTTCCTCACCGAGTATAATATTTTCCAATTCGACCCACTTTCCTGTAAATTTTAATTATTTTTATAGATGAATAAAATCCAACTGTGTATATGTATCATATTTTCATTATCCATTTATCTGTTGACGGCCATCTACACTGATTCTATTTCCTCAATAGCAGGGATGTGCAAATGTCTGCTAGGAGATGGTGGGTACACATCCAGAAGTGATACAGGTGGGGTATACGAACCTCTGTTTTAGCTTTTTGAGAAATCTCCACACTGATTCCCATAGTGACTGCACCAGTTTTATACTTCCACTAACAGAAAGGTTTCCCTTTACCCACAACCTCACAGGAATTTGTCATTATATTTTCTTCATGATGGCCGTTCTCACTGTCATGAAATGGAAATTCAGAGTAGTTTTAATTTGCCTTTCTCTGATGGCTATATATGTTGAACACTCATAAGATACTTACTCACTACGTTTTGTTGAGAACTGTTTGTTCAGCTTATTGGCCCATTATATTGATTGTCAATGTTGAAAATTAGATGTTTTGAAGAATGGGAACAACATATTTGTACACCACATCGCCCTAACCTAGATCAGGACAGATGGCTCAGAGGATGGAGCTTGCTGGGAGTTCAGATTCTCAGTACAGATGGAAAATCCAAAAACCATGACATAAGTCTGTAACACCAGAGCTGCTGGGGGTACAGGTGAATACTGGGGGCTTACTGGCCAACAAACTTGGCCTAGCTGGCAGGCTTCAGGTTTAGTGAGAGTCTGTCTCCAAAAAGTGGAAGAGCTGGAGAGATGGTTCAGCAGTGAAGAGCACTGCCTGCTTCTGCAGAAGCCTCAGGTTATGTTCCCAGCACTCTCACAACCGTCCAAAACTCCAGTTCCAGAGATCCTACCCCCTCTCCTGACTTCCATGGGAGCAGGCACCCATGTGGTGTATACATACATGTAGGCAAAACGATTATACATATAAAATGTTTGTTTCAAGACAGGGTTTCTCTATGTAGCCATGGCTGTCCTGGAACTCACTCTGTAGACCACGCTGGCCTCGAGCACACAGAGATCTATCTACCTGCCTCTGTCTCCCAGTGCTGGTAATAAAGGTGTGCACCACCACTGCCCAGCAGAATATTTTTTAAAGCTGGAGAATGATAGAAGAAAACATTCAACATTGCTCTCTGAACTCCATATGCACATACGCGCACACTCACGCAAACATAGAAAGGTGAGAACACCCACACACATCCACACAACACATAAAGGGGCAAGAAACTCACACACATGCATATACCACACAAACAGACCCACAAAAACACCAAATACACGAAACACACAAACACACACACTCAAACACACACATATACACCAAATACATACACAACAAACACACACACACACACACACACACACACACACACAAGCACAGAAGCAAACCAAAGCAGCACATTCTTGGTGCAGAGCTGAAAAGAGTATGAAGTCTTACACCACGGAAAGAACAGGATTTGGAAACATCAGGTATTTAAGGCTTTTGTGGAAGTTCATTTTAAGGCATTCATGTGCATCAGACATTTAACATCTTGAATGTTCTCTGCATGATAGAGATACTCCACACCATCACCTGCAGAATTACTGGATAAGCAAGTGAAGAAAATAACAAAAGAACAGGCCCAACGTCATCCCCACCTTAGACAAAGGCTCACATTTCCTGTGTGTGTTGACCTTATGAGTATCAACCATGAGATTCCAGCCCTTTGGTGAGTGAAAGATGCTGACAAAAAGGGTTCAAGACAATGAGAAAGATCAGTGAGACAGGTTATACATCAGGGTTCCAGACCAGGACTGGACAATCACAAAGAGTCTGGAGATGACAATAATGGAGAGGAAAAGGAAGCTGAAGAAATTCTGGGTTAGCCTCTCCACCTTGGTGTAGCTAGGTAATTCACCTAGACATGAGTATGAAAGGAAATGAGCTACAGAACAGACCTGAAGAACTGATGGACTTGCTTTTTACCAATTTAGCGGATACTTTGAACTATGTGCATCATCTATTCATCATGAGCATCTCATGCTTTTGACCTAAAGGCATATCTTTTAGGTAATGAAAAACACAGCTGTTATTAAGTCTAGTTTTTCTCAACACATCTTTATGTTTGCAAGACTCTTTAAATCCTGGGTACGTTAAAATTTTAACAAATCGTATTTTTAATTTGCAGTGAGAATGTATTTTATAGATTTTTCAAAAGTGTCAAATGCATAAGTTCTTGAATGAGTAGTAGCAGAAGAAATTAGAACTCACTTGTAAAGGGTATTAAAGTTTTTGTTGTCTTTTTCAGTCCTCCAGAAGAGCTACTCAGCTGCTGCCTATTGCAGGATTAGGAAAGCTTCCCTCCCCACAATCATCTTAATGTCTCAGAGGGTAAATTTTTAAGATCCACTGAGAGCCCAGTGCTGCTCCAGTGACTGGGCCATGCCCCTCCCTGCTCCCGGCTGTACAGTACATCATAGGCCATCATTCTTGGCAGGCTTGGGAACATTGCTTTGTTTGGTTTCCTCAAAAGAGCACAAGAAGCTCTACCAGACATTCAGCTTTATGTTTCCTACTAGGAAAACATCCAATACCTAATATAAGATTGGTATATGACTTTGCCTCTGCAAGATCTTGGACTTGGGGTTCTCGTCATCTGTCTGGCAATTCAAGGAATGTCAGTGTCTTCTTATATGGGTTACGTCACTGGGATAGATGATCTGAATTGCCTGATCTACCGATTCTGGATGAAGAAGTCCAATTCAGAATTTTACTGTTGCCTTTTTTCTTAGATCCTGTGGCTTGAGAATTGAACTGAAGCCAATACTTGATTTGCTGCAGTGGTTTCTGCATCTCCGCAAGGGTTCTACCTCTAGCTACTCATTGATCTCCTTTTATTCACATTGTCATTCCCCACTCAGGGCTGTGCAAGTGTCTCAGGGATTTCATGTCTGTGATACCATTTATGTTTTGTGAACTGTGCACTGTTGTGTGTGATGTACTTTTAATCCACATAATTTGCTGCTACATATCTCGGTCTGTTTTATGCTCCTCGCTTTCACTAACTACACACTTTCAAGTCTTCGTCTATTTAGAAACCATGTGAAATTGATCTTGTCAGTTGGAGAACAGGCAGGAATTATTAGCAGATTTACAGATACTACAAAATATAGCAATATCACCGTGTGACACAAGAACAGTAGCGTCTCGTCTCACAAAGACAGTAGGGAGGTTTGGTGAGTTACTGTGCTCTTTATCCTTCAATCCTGATGTAGTTCTAAACCAGTCTAAAATAAGGACGTCTATTTTGATTGTAACTAATCACATAGCAACATTTGGCTCTGTACACTAATGTGCATTTCAACATACATGACTTTGACGTTGCACTCTGCTAAACATTTCCAAAACCCTTTTGTTAATAAAATACTACTTTTTAAAGGCTCAGATCTGTCCTTCACCTTTATGGCAATACAATGTTAACTGGATCTACTTTGAATAGTCTTCTTGGAAAAGATGGAAAGAGGTGGGCTGCTGGGGCGGCTCTCTTGGATCATAACAGTTAACGGCTAAATTTTCAGGCACTTGAGACCCATTCCTAAATACTGGCAATTGCTATAATAAAAACTGTATAAGCTCACCACATTCATTGTAGTGTAAATGAAGAAATACTATGTGCATCCAAATTCTCTAATCTCTAATTATTGTTAATATCTCACTACTGACCATGTTCAAGCAGTAACTTAAAGTACTAGTGTGAAAAAAGTATCTCCAACTTGGGAGTTCACTGACATATTGGAACTGTGTAATCAGCAAATGAGACAACCTAGAGAATTCCCCTTAAACACCCCTCCCCCTAGAAAGCCTATGCTTGGCTTGCATAACAGCATATATTCTTTTACTTTAACACTTCTTGTTCAAATTGACCCACTCTAGAGATGCTCTGCAATGATGGGTATGTTCAGACCTAACCAATAACGTCATATAACATACGAGAGTCAAAATATAGCAGAGGTGAGGATTTTTAGACTCTGAACTGTGACAGTACATGACAAAGGGAGACAAACCAAAAAGCTTAACACTGAACATTTGCACCGATATCCAAAGAGAACTAAAATATGCCAGATAGAGACCCTTTCATTATAAAACACTGGAGGGCAGAGTGTCAGGTCTGAAAACCCTGAAAGAAAGGCAATAGGCCTCACAAAAAATGAAAGGGCCCAAATACTGAGTTTCTATCCTTCCTCAAATGTGTATTGTATTTTTTCTGTTGTCTTCCCTCTCCTTGTGCCACATCCTTCAACAAAAACATACCCTCCCCTTCCCCAAGCTCAACTGTGGAACCAAGGCAAGGCTTGGACCAAACCCTACTGCAGGACCATGGGAACACAGTCATCTGTCACTGGAGGATAATGAACTGGGGGATCATGGGAAGAAAGGGGGTATGAGATGGGCTTCAGTCCAGATTAATTCTCTGAATCCTCATTGATTTTACATGTTTGTTCCTCTGCCATCAGATAGAGAATATAAGAATCCTGACTCTTCAGAGCCTCTGAAGACAAAGGAATTGTGGTGATTGGATAGCATCATCATCACACAGGTGTCATTGGAAACAGAAGCAGGAAGCCAGGCAAGGAGAAGTGTACTAGAATATTAACACTTGAGTGGCTGAGGCAGGAAAATCACCACAAGGTCTTCATAGGCAAATCTCAGGTATGCAGTGAATTCAAGGCCAGTCTGCACTGCATACTGAGACCCTGATTTTTTTTTAAATAAGGCAAAGAAGGAAGGAAGGTACAATAAAAAGTCCAGATCAAGTTATGTTCACTTCGCTAGCTGTCTGCCTGGTAAGGCCTGCAGTGCATGTGTTTGGAACATCAATCGAAGATTCAGAATATTCAGGCTTTAAAAGTGTTCCTAGAAAGTGGGAAGTACTCTACAACACATGGGCACAGGAGACCACTTCCTATGTATAACCCCAGCAGCACAGACATTAAGGGCATCCTGAATAAATGGGACCTCCTGAGACTTAGAAGCTTCTGTAAAGCAAAGGACACTGTCACTAAGACAAAAAGGCAACCCACTGACTGGGAGAAGATCTTCACCAACCCCACAACTGACAAAGGTATGATCTCCAAAATATATAAAGAACTCAAGAAACTAGACTGTAAAATGCTAATCAACCCAATTAGAAAATGGAGCAATGAGCTGAACAGAGAATTCTCAACAGAAGAACTTCAAATGGCCAAAAGACACTTAAGGTCATGCTCAACTTCCTTAGTGATCAGGGAAATGCAAATCAAGACAACTTTAAGATACCATCTTACACCTGTCAGACTGGCTAAAATAAAAAACACCAATGATAGCCTTTGCTGGGGAGGTTGTGGAGAAAGGGGTACACTCATCCATTGCTGGTGGGAATGCAAACTTGTGCAACCACTTTGGAAAGCAGTGTGGCGGTTTCTCAGGAAATTCGGGATCAACCTACCCCTGGACCCAGCAATGCCACTCTTGGGAATATACACAAGAGAGGCCCTATCATACAACAAAAGTATATGCTCAACTATGTTCATAGCAGCATTGTTTGTAATAGCCAGAACCTGGAAACAACCTAGATGCCCTTCAATGGAAGAATGGATGAAGAAAGTGTGGAATATATACATATTAGAGTACTACTCAGCAGTAAAAAACAATGACTTTTTGAATTTTGCATGCAAATGGATGGAAATAGAAAACACTATCCTGAGTAAGGTAAGCCAGACCCAAAAAGAGGAACATGGGATGTACTCACTCATAATTGGTTTCTAGCCATAAATAAAGGACATTGAGCCTATAATAAGTGATCCTAGAGAAGCTAAATCAGAAGGTGAACCCAAAGAAAAACATGTACTCATCCTTCTGGATATTAACCTTCATCAGGTGATGAAAGGAGACAGAGACAGAGACCCACAGTGGAGCACCGGACTGAAACCCCAAGGTCCAAATCAAGAGCAGAAGGAGAGAGAGCACGAGCAAGGAACTCAGGACCGCGAGGGGTGCACCCACACAATGAGACAATGGGGCATGTTCTATCAAGAACTCACCAAGGCCAGCTGGCCTGGGTCTGAAAAAGCCTGGGATAAAACCGGACTCACTGAACATAGCGGACAATGAGGACTGCTGCGAAGTCCAGAACAATGGCAATGGGTTTCGATCCTACTGCACGTACTGGCTTTGTGGGAGCCTAGTCTGTTTGGATGTTCACCTTACTAGACCTGGAAGGAAGTGGGAGGTCCTTGGACTCCCCACAAGGCAGGGAACCCTGACTGCTCTTCAGGCTGACGAAAGAGGGGGAGTTGATTGGGGGAAGGGGAGGGAAATGGGAGGCGGTGGCGGGGAGGAGACAGAAATCTTTAAAAAAAATAATAATAATAATAATAAGGAGGAGGAGGAGGAGGAGAAGAAGGAGAAGAAGAAGAAAATAAACAAAATAAAATGGAAATGTTTTATAAATTAAAAGATTATTTGGCTTCTAAAAAAAAGTGTTCCTATAATTCCTATCAATTACCTGATGTATTACTCTGGGTAACAAATTATTATGGCCATTTTTGGGAAGGCCATGTGACTGATGTCTGCAGCATCAAGTTTTGAAATTTCACCCAATAATTAATTTAAAAAACTAAAGTATTTGTTCACTTGGGGCTTGGTGAAGGTAAACAATCCTCTGTGATATTTGTCTGACACTATTTAAAAACAGCTCGTGTTGTTCAGTGCCTACATCATGTTTATTATTATTTTTTCACACACACATATGCCTAGACACAGTGACAAATCTTCAGGATTCCACATGGATGATTACAAACAGGCGTGTGCCAGTGCATATACAATCACAGGACAAATGAAAACGCTGAGATGCAAACCCACTCAGAATCCCATTGATCGATCACATTGGATAACAAAATACTGGTTTTGTAAGAATCATAAAAAACCATTATTCCAAAGAAATAATGGATATAGTTCAACATCAATCTTCAGTCAAGTAGACTCCCTATATCATAAAAAGGCCTGAAAGTTTATAAAATTCTTTAACACTTAAAATAATAATTTTAAAAAGGCAGGCATGGTGGTACATGCCTGTAGTCCCAGCACTTGGGAGGTGGAGGCAGAAGGATTGGGAGTTCAAAGTCATTGTCAACTATATACTGAATCCGAGGCCAGGCTGGCTACATGAGAACTTGTTTCAAAAATAAACAATTTACAAATGTTAGTCATTTTAGACATGAAACAGGATACCACACAGGCAGTGCTCTAGAGAGGCCTCCTACTCCCGGCTCTCAGGTCAAGTAGGACATGCACTCCAGATGTCCAGAAAGTGAGACAGAGCTGGCAGGCTTTGGTGGCAGGCAGGAACTAGGAGACTGTGGTCCTCTCTCTCCATCACTACCTGAAAATAAAAGGAAAAGTCAGAGTCAGGTTACATACGTCTCCACGCAGTAAGCCCACACACTTTGGTGCCACACCGAATCTATGATTTGTCACTGAAACCAGAAACAAACACCCCCCATATCTCTGATCCTGGCTCTAGCGTTTCTCAGTCAGGGTCACCATTATTTTTGTCAATCCTGAGGTCTTCAGATAGGATTCTCCCCTTCTCAGAGATGTACTGTCTCTTCACACCCCTCCCCCATATTTTCTGACCCAGCCTGAATCACCCACTCTGCCAGACCTCTGTGAGAAGCTAGGTCTCCAGCTTCCTTCACGGTCCTTTGTTCTTTGATGCCCACCACCCAAAGTGGCTTCCCACTAACACACTTCATCAGGGTTTTTATTTAGGCTTCTCATTGGGGCTCAGCCTTCCCGTCCAGCCTCCCAACTATGCCATTTTCCTCTGAGCAGTGACCACATGGAGCAGTGAGCATGTAGGGAAACATTCCAAATGGAAAGCATCCAAGCTACAAGGGAAATGCCTTGAAGACGTCAGCATGATCTCGTTCCATTGCGGACCCTTATCCTCCATGCATGTCCTCCCAGTCTTCCTCGGTCTCCAGTGGACTGAAGATATTGCCATGGGCTGCGAGTTATTACACCTAGTTCTATTCCTTCCCTTGACATGCCCTTGGACTCCAATAAGACTTGGCCACCTTGGACGGGGGCTCAGTCTACAGGGACATTTTGTTGTCACTGTGGTGCTGGTGGTTTTGTTTTTACTTCATGTCAGGCCATTTGCTGTTGAGCAAAAGCACTTCAGAACTGGGGATTCACCGAGAAGCCCCTGATTTCCATCTCCCACCTTGGACTGAGCATCTGAAATGCCTGATCCAGAAGGTCCAAATCCAGGTTTCCACATATTACCACAACCAGTTCACCACAACCCTTCCAATTTCCCAACAACCCCTACCTCAGGCTCCATCTTGAAGAAGACAGCTACCTGGCATGCTGCCACGATGTTGCAGAGAGGCAGAATCACAAGGATCCTGAGAAGAGTTTTTCAGGGCCAACAGGGCCTCTGCGGCCTCCAGCTTCCTCTGCCACTCTAAGAGAGCAACAACAGAATCCTGCTTGGTGGCATTAGGGACCTGCAAAGGAAATGGCATCAGATAATGGCATCTGGGAAACCACACCTCCTCTCACTAACACAGGTGCCCCTTTAAGTATCCAGTTCCATCCAGCACCCACCCCCACCCTAGGCTTTTTTGCTCTTCCCATTCACTAAGCTCATTCCCTCCCAGGGACCTGGACCCCACTACTTTGCCAGGACCTGTGGCTGCAGAAGAAGAGGGCCAGGGGTAGCACTGGGTTGCAGGGTCGCACTTGAAAATCTAGAAACAAGGAGAGGAGAGGCCAGGGGATGAAACCCTCTGGTGGAAACCTACTACTGGAACACTTGGCAGACCAGGGGTTTTCAAACCAGGCTGGGGAAATCTGAACGATTCCAAGATGTTTGTCCTTTTCAACCAGCCACCTTCTTGGCCTGTTTCCTTTTAAAACGTCTATATTTTTCTTGACATGCTAACTTCTACCAAATCTTTCTTCCCTGTGCTGCAATGAAGATGACAAAGAACCCAAAGAGACTATGCTCTAATCTGCACAGCCGCCAGAAAGATGGGTGTAGTAATAAGAGTTTATTATTATTACATATGGCAACCTTATTATTACATATGGCAACCACGAAGGGACAACTGCTTCCACATAAAGCCTGAGACAGCTTGGGAAGTAATTCTAGAACAAAATGAAAGCATTGTGCCTGGTTTCTTGGTAGCAGCAATTTCTCGGTTCTACTCTGCTTGCTAGAGGCAAGCAAGCGCCGCATCTAAGAGAGGCTTCCTGACTCAGCTTTAGCTGCAAAGCCTGCAGCTCATTAAGAGGTTCTGCCACGAAACACTTAAACGGTGTTGACGAAAAGCTGAACACATGCTTTTCAGTTTTCAGCCATAGCAGGAAAAAAGCTGCGCCGTTTAAAAATGCCAGCTTTCTGGGCTGTCCTGCCAGGGCAAACTCTGACTCTTTTACGCAGGCGGTTCATGCCTACAGCCAGTACCTCAGCCATGAGGCTGGAAAGCTAAGGAATGGACTGGATCTAGCTGGCAAAGCCACGCCTTTAGTCCTACTGAGTTTGCTTGGTAAATTAAAGATTCATGTGGTCAGAAAAAGAGAGATATACAGTAAAGAGAGATTCAAAGACAGAGAAAATTTCTGAATGGTTTAAAGTGTGTTAAAAATATATGCAGACTAAAATTTAAAGTTCTTAAAAGTAAAAAACAAAAAAAGGAAGAGAGTTGTTGTGTGTGGTAGCACACGCCTTTAATCCCAGTGCCTAGAAGGCAGAGGCAAACAGATCTCTGTGAGTTCAAGGTGTAGTAGCAAACACCTTTAATCCCAATGCCTGGGAGGCAGAGACAGGCGGATCTCTGAGAGTTCTAAGACAGCCTGGTCTACAGAGTTACTTCAGGTCAAAGATACAGAGAACCTGTCTCAAAAAGCAAAGAGTTAAAAGTAAAAATAAACAAAATAGAGGTTAAAACAAAGCTGCACAAAGATGGAAAATATACAGAGAATTTTGATACTGTATGCTATTATGCTCTCTTTGAATCGTTTGAATGCTGAGGAAGGACCAACAGCTGCTAAAAGATATTTATTTGTAGATGCTGCTGAGCTAATCCAACATGGATGTTTTGATGCCTTGGCTTTGAAATTTGGATCTAAGGACATGATACTTTGGAAAGGAGTTTCTTATTTTGTTTTCACAGAGGATGAGACGCTGTTCATTTCTTCTATACCGATTTGGTATGATGGACCACGCCCTCCTGAAGGGTTGGTGTGAACACCTTCAGAAAATTGCTTCGCTCAACTGCCAACTGAGATGAAACTAGCACACAGGTTATACCATGAAAGACCTAATTAACGACGCCCCCATTCAGCAGGAAGCAGTTTGGAGAGAAAAAACTGCGCCCATGTTCCCAAATATGGTTTATAAACGTTCTTTTACATTTAAAGGGGGATATGATATAGGTATGAATAATTTGCATTAGTATAGATTTTGCTTTATTGATAGAGATTTAAGGTCAATTTTGTTATATATATATAAGTGTTTCTGATTTTGATTAAGGTATCGTGATTGTGTAGTTTATTTAAATATATACTGTATAATTAAGAAATATAGGTTGTTAATGGATAATCATCGATAATAGTAAAGCTTGTAGTCATGTTAGTTAGATTTTCTAGATATATAGAGATATAGTTTAGATAGATATTCTTCATGTCTTTCAAATATTACAGAATAGGACATTTAATGTTTTAATAACTGAGGACTTTTCATGACAATGAGACACTCTGCTCCTGGCAGCACCAATCTACTTCAAGAGGAAGATGGGCATCGAAGAGGCACCTTATGGAGTTTGATAGCCATTTGGGCAAGAAACTGCTCTTGCCTGGACTATTGCATAAACTGGACACAGAGAACCCGCAGAGAGGGGACTACTGAACTTGCCTAAGGTGAGATGATCTTTCGGGGTTCCTGATTCATTTTGAAAGAGTCTGCAAGACATTCTGCAGGACACAACAGATAGTGACTGAACTGACTTTGAATTTTCCTGCTTTATGGAAATGTCTGCTGGATACCATGGGCCTGAAGGCTGAAGATGGATGCCCCAACGGTACAAAAGAACTTTGGGTGACTGTCCAGGCAGCGAGATGTCTTTGTCATTTCTAGAGTTTGAAGTTTCTTAGTTCTTGTTTACTTAGGTAATATATCTTTCTGGAGTCTTTGATGGAGTTAAGAATAGTTAGTTATAGTTATAGTTTTCCTTAGTTATGATAAAGATTATTGTAACTTTTACTTGATAACTGTTTTGTTATATGTAATTTTGCTATGTTAAAGCCTTTTTTTTTTTGTTTAAACCGAAAAAGGGGAAATGATGGAGGAAGGTCATTGGCTAATAAAGGAACTGCCCTGGCCCATTTTATTGGTTAGAGGATAGGTGGGAGGAGTAAACAGAACAGAACGCTGGGAGGAAGAGGAAGTGAGCTCAGAGTCGCAACAGCTCTGCTCTCAGGAGCAGACGCCTGAGAGAGATGCCATGCCCCACTCCCGGAATGAAGCTCCGACCCAGGATGGACATAGGCTAGAATCTCCCCGGTAAGCGCACCTTGGGGTGCTACACACAGATGATTAGAAATGGGCTAAATTAATATGTGAGAATTAGCCTAGAAGAGAATGGGCCACGCAGTGATTAAATGAATACAGTTTGTGTGTTGTTATTTCGGGGCATAAGCTAGACAGGCTGCCGGGGTGCTGGGAACGCAGCCCCGCCACTCTTATTACTACAGATGGGAGCCCCTCCTTTTTCAGGTACTGGCTCTTGCTTCCTTTTTTTCCCAGTCCACAGTGGTTATGAATTGATGAGTCAGTCTCTGTTCAAATGGTGTCAGTAACAGACAGGGACCGTGACAACTGCTAATGCCCCCCCCCTTAACTGTATGAGCAGATCTGTGTCTCTGGAATGCTAGACGACTCATAATGGAGTCCCAGCTAACTGCAGACTCTCTAATTTGGCATCAAAGCCCAGGGAGATGCCTGGTTCCTGCCCTTTGTCTGCAGACACACTGCCAGGACATACTGCCCCTATATACCCACACAAGACGTGGGGTGCAAGGCATTTGAACTCATTGGACAGTAACTCAATGTGACCTTAGCTGATTGGGTAATGTATGCATATATGCCAGTGAACATACACATTGAACCAGATCTGCACCTTGATGCTGGTCTGTGGAGGAGGTCTGTTTCCCAGGAAGCTCTGTGACTCTGTCTTTCTCCCCTCTCCCCTACTGAGATGCTAATGAGAGGGGAAACCCACAATGAAGGACAAGCCAGGCCTTTCTCTAGGAAGTCTTCTCTATTGACTTTAGCATTCCTTTAGGCCTCTATAGCATTCCCCATCATGACCCCAAATTCCAACCGAATCTTCTCTCACATCCATCTGTTGTGATATGGAGCAACAGCCCAGGCTCATTCAGGGCTTCCTATGTGGTACACCTTCTTCTACTTCTCTTGTCAATGTCATGAACGTAGCCTGTTGTCCCGGAGTGGCTACCAGAAAACATAGACTTGGAAAGATGAAATCACTTATTGGAACCCTCAAGATTAGGAATTCTCAAGGCGAAATGCCTTCTCTTCACTCCTCCTTCTGAGGTGATGCCTCCTCCTCCTCCACACTTCCTCTTCTCCTATTACATTTCTTCTTCCTTCTCCTCTTTCTCCTTTCTCATTTGCCAATCTCCCATGGCACCAACCACAGTGCTTAACATGGAGTAATATGGATACAGCTGGCTTTAGGGCCATATTCAACTCACCTTTTGGGCCTGACAGATGGATCACGAGGTGCCCAGGAAAAAGAAATCGCTGGTTGCTGCTCCAATTTCACTGGAACATGGGGCAGAATTGCCCATTCTCTCTGCTGGCTAGGCATATGAGTTCCCTGAGAACTTCCCTGCCAGAGTAGAGACAATAGTAGGAATTTGGGTACCCAGCCTACCATGAAAAGAGGAGAGATGAACATGTTGTCAGATGACTACAGCAACTCAGAATGTCAGAACTTGAAGCCCTTGAAGATCATTGAGGCTTACCTTTAATTTTAATTTTCAGTTCACACTAAAATCCAGGAAGATGCAGTTAAACCTGAGCTCACATGGTAAATCACGGCCGATGTGGGGATGGAACCCAAGACTTTAGGACACAGTACAAAGGGTCAGGGGAGGAGCTTCTGGAATCACCTCCCATAAGCACCAGAATCTCCTTACCTCCTGTGGAACTTTGTGGGACCTGGCCTCCCTCTTGTGCACAGTGCTCTCCTGCCCATCTGTAAAACACCAGGCACAGCTTACATAAGCCTCACTGACACCATCCTTCCAAATATTCCGGCCCCATTTGGAGGGTTTACCACACTATGCCTCTTTCCCAACTCTTGGGTTGCTTTCTTTTTCTAGTGAATGGCCACTGTGGAGCCTGATTCAATAGGGGCAGGAGAACACTCAGGGCTAAGTAGCAAGACAGTGATAAAAGTAACAAACTTACCACTCAGCAACAAATGTCTACCTATAGAAAATATAAGCAAGGGATGTGGACATTTCTCCAAAGCATTTAATTCCTAACATTGGTTTGATGAGCAATTACCAACAGTCCCACTGCAATCTCAAGACAGGGATGCTGACAGAATTACTCATGTTCCCTCCACCTAAATTCAGGTTCCTTCCCTAACCAAAGACACTCACTGCGGCTTTCTGCTACACCAGCCAGCTTCTTGCCATGCTTGTAGAATTTAGGAGCAACAGCCATATTCTTTATCAGTCCTTGATCCAGGTGCCTCTTCAGCCTTGTCCTCTGCTCTTTCTTTGAGGCGATCACAGCAGGCAAGAGCCCATGCTGTTCCCTAAAGTGAAGGATGGAAGGACCAAGGTTAGCAATGTGGAATAGGCCTGACCCTTACCTTGCCAGACATGACACTCACAAGAAGGCAGTGCTCTGTGACATTTGAGGCATGGAAGAGGCAGAAACGCTTTTTATCCCTGCTTTGGGTAGAGAAGCAGTGGTTGTAGAAGTTGTACGAGTGGCCTATAGGCCTTCTGAAGGCAAATTCTTTCCCCCGGGGAGCTCCAGTCTCATGCCCACTGCTACATGTGGAGTCAGAAAAGCAGCGGGGTAAGGCAGGTATGAGTTATGCTGCATGGCTTTAGGGTCAGGAGTGGGGGTCAGAGTAGCACCTGGGTCCCCCATCTCCAGGTTACTTACTCTGTCCTTAGAAAACTACATCTTCAGTGACTGGGACTTTTCTCTCTATTGTGCTCACTGTTGGACTAAGCTTTCACTTCCTCGTTTCCCTATGCTTTCTCAATTTTCACCTAGGCCTTCTTATATAGTACCCTTCACAGAGTCCCACATTGATGGAGTAAGGTCATTGGTTAAATTTGTAGTAATAGGAGCGGCGGGGCTGCGTCCCCAGCACCCCGCCTGCCTGGCTAGCTTATGCCCGAATTAACAACACACAAACTGTATTCATTTAATCACTGCTTGGCCCATTTCTATCTAGCCTCTTCTAGGCTAATTCTCACATATTAATTTAGCCCATTTCTAATCATCTGTATAGTGCCCCTAGGTGTGCTTACCGGGAAGATTCTAGCCTATGTCCTTCCTGGTTCGGAGCTTCATCGCATGCATCTGCCTGGGAGCTGGGAGCATGGCGTCTCTCTGAGGCGTCTGCTCCCGAGAGGAGAGCTGTGGAGTCTGAGCTCACTTCCTCTTCCTCCCAGCGTTCTGTTGTTTACTCCTCCCACCTATCTTCTAACCAATGAGGGCCAAGCAGTTTCTTTTTATTTAACCAATGACCTTCCTCCATCACCACATATACGAAGCTCTTCACAGTCTCACAGATGTTCAACCTGATCATGAGTTTTTCTGTTTATCTTCTCTCCTCACAATCCATTTTCAGGCCCAGACAGTCCTGCATCTTCAACAATCACTACACTCCATCCATTCTGTCGCATCATTAATTGTCTTCCTCATGGCCTTCATTCTTTCACTTTCGGCCTGGGATTTTATGTCCCATGCTCTCAGACAGGAGTCTCATGAATGCCTTATTTCCCTTACCTTTTCATTAAGGTTGTTTGCACACTTAACCTCAATCTTGATTACCACCTGGATCCCCCTTTACACTGCCTGTCCTCTTGCTTCTCATAAGGAATCACATTAGGCTACTCAAGAAGGTGAGGGAGGGGGATCAGAACTTCCATACCATTCTGGGTTAACTAGGGGGACAGTATCTCAAAACAAAAAAAGGTATCATTCAACAATACATAACCTACATGAGATGTAAGCAAAGGACAGAAATAGACAAATCTTTAAAGCATACAAAGGGCAAAGTGAAATATGAGCAAGGAGGTCAAGACCACGATGGGGACACCCACTGAAATAGTTTACCTCAGATACTGGGACCTCACCAACTCCAGCCAGACAGGGAAGGAACCAGATTACTACCAAATTAGACCCTCTGAATGTGGGACACAGCTGTATGGCTGAGGAAGACAAAAGGGCCCTGACAGTGGCACCAGAATTTATCCCTACTGCTGGTACTGGCTTTTTGGGAACCCGTTCTCTTTGGACGGATACCTTCCTCAGGCTAGATAAAGTGAGAATGCTCTTGGACGTTCCCAAAAACAATGTGCGCTGGATCCTCTGAGAATTGGGGGGGTGGGTGTGCAGTAGGTGGTAAGGTGAAGGGAATGGAAGAACGAGACGGATTGGGAATTGGGATTGGTATCTAAGTGAAAAAAGACAGTTTACTTTTGAAAAAAAACAATACAACTAAAAATAGTAAGTGGTCATAAACTTGAGTGAGAGTGAAGTGGACATGAGAGGAATTGGAGGTGGAGAGGTAGGGGTGAAAATGATGTAGCCAAACTACTTGATGTGGAATTCCCCTCTGTATGCTGTGAATAACATTGGTTAATAAAGGAAACTGGCTTGGCCTGATTGGGCAGCGTAGAGCAAGGCAGGGAAAACTAAACTGAATAATTTTTAAATAACAAGACTTATGGTTGGACTCAGGAGATGACTCATCAAGTGAACATGCTTGCCATACAAGCCTGACAACCTGAGTTTGATCCCCCTGGGCCCAGAGAAAGGCCTGATGAGGTATCCTGGAAGAGAAATCACAGAACACTTGTAGTGAGATGGGAAGCGGCCCTGGAAGCTTCCTTTCTGCTAGCTAGCATTTACAGTACTAGAAGGTACTATGCAGGCTGCTGAGAGGAAGACCTCCTCAATATTCTTCCCTAGCTGTGAACCCTGTGAACTGCAGAAATGACCACCATGGCTATATATGTCCCTAGGTACCATAGTAAAATGTGTTACAGGGATAAACTGCTTTCTGCTTGGATTTAAGGCCTGCAAATCTGGCCAAGAATCCATGGTTGGGGAGCTCAAAGGTCCCAACGTAAATCTGCTATGGTGATTTTACTGAATAGATATAGTAGGCCTTATTCTTGAAATTTGTATATTTCAACCCATAGACTAGTGTATCTCCCAGACCCTGTCAGAGAAGTGTCTGTGTTTGAACAGTGAATGCCAATTAACTAAGAAACCTGTAACCATTCACGGTGTGGAGAACAAGTGATTATGGGATGCTAAGTCACAAATGGGACATCTATGTCATACACACCCCCAAGGCTATCCCTGGAAGAGGGGGAGGAAACATAAGACTCAGTGGTAGAGGAGGACAAGAATGAGATAATGTCGTCAGGAGACGCCAGGACTACTGCGTCCATGAACTCACAGCAGCTGTGGCTGCCCACCCAAGACCTGCACCAAAAAAAGTCAACATTCGACTATGAAGCAGGAAGGGGTTCTTGAGGGCCCACCTGTAACTGAGGTGTTATGGAGGTGTTGATGTCTTCTGGGGAAGGAAGAGTCACGATTTCTTTTAAGGCTGTGGCTACTGGTAAGGTGACCAAGCTCGGGTAGATGGCCTCATCCCCAGAAGTATTGCGAGAGCCCAAACTGGAGCCAATGGGTTATGAAAACAAACAAACCAAAAAATAGTACTAGAGAGATGGCTCAGCAGTTATGAGTGTGTACTGCTTTTGTAGAAGACCCAAGTTCAAATCCAAGCATTCACAACAGGAAATTGTTCATAATCTCTAACTCCAGCTACAGGGGATCCAACATCTTCTTCTGGCCTTCTTGGATACCAGCAGACACATGCAAAAGGCCCCATGTACATATATATTAATAAAAACTCTAACAGAATAAAAGGTAAGAGTTGGGGAGGTAGGGGTGGGCTTGGGAAGAGTTAAGGGGAGGAGTTGAGGGTAAATGTGATCAAAACACATTATATGAAATTCTCAAAGATGTAATAAAACTATTAAAAATATAAAGCAGCACAAGAAGTATTACAGACAAGTATTTCTCATGAACATAGATGCAAACCTCTCATGAAATGTTAGCAGTTTGAATCAGTGTATGGAAAAACATTCATTAACAAGTACACTTTACTCTAGGAATGCAAGACCATTTTACTATTAATTTTTCTTAGGTTTATTTATTTATGTGTGTGTGCGTATTCTACCTGCCTGTACATATGCACACCATTTGCCTGGTGTCCTCGGAGGTCAGATGAGGACACCAGATTCCCTAGAAGTGGAGTTCCAGGTGGTCATGAGCCACTTTGTGGGTTCTGGGAGTTGAACCCAGATTCTCTGCTGGAGTAACAAGTGCCCATAACTACTGAGCCATCACTCCAGTCCCTAGTTTGACACTTAAATACCACAAATAAAGCTAGCCTGGAGGTGCATTCCTATAATATTATTAGCACACAGGAAGCTGTAGCAAGTGGAACACCATAGGTTGGAGGCCAGACTGGGAGACACTGTGAATTCCAGCAGTTTGTCTCCTACAGAGTAAGACTGTATATAAAAAGAAAGGGCAGGAAAAGAAATCCATGAATGAATTTTACTGTATTAGTGGGATAACAGAAGAGTGGTCACTAAGATGTGTGCCGGAAAGGGGATGTGATAATCTGAAAACTCCAGTGATAAAAACATCAAAAAAGAAGGTATGCCAATTTAGGAACATAGGGGAATATTCTCAATCCCATAATATCTATCTGTAAAGAAACAAAAGCAAAAAACAAACCATAGAGGAAATGTTTCATGGTGAAATGCTAAATACACTTCTATTAATTTTTATGATTTCACACAAAATAATGGGCCTAATGACATTTTCACAATGGTGTATTATACTTTGCTCACATTGACCCCCATTACCCTCTGCTGTTCCCTGTCCATTGAGTCCCCTTCATCCATATAGAAAGGATCCCTTGTACTTCCAGGTCCTGCATACACACCCTTATCACATTTACAGTGGAAGGTTGATTCCTCACATCCAACAACATATGACACCTATCTTTTTTTTCTCTATTACCTTCTTTTCACACCCTTGGCTTTCCCTTCTTCCCTCAAATGTTCTCACTTTTACCTTGATGTATGGTCTAGGTTGTATTGTGACAGAAAACACGTGATAAGGGAAAGACAGAAATTTCCTGTCAATATCTAAGAAATGTGGCAGAATGTTGCTCCAGATGCTCACCACATGCACCCAGCATCATTCTTTAAGCCATAGCTGGTTCAGTCAGGCACGAACTGTAGACAGAGGCACATAGATTCAAAATGAAAAGGGGGAATCTTGAGGGAGGGGCAATCTGGGAGAAGTGGAGGATGGGAATAAACGTGATAACTGTGTGAAATTTTCAAAGAATATTTTTTGAGGGGTGCAATGAACTTTATTGATGGTATTCAAGAGAGTAGGGCTCCCTAAGGCCCCTCCTGCTATTCTGGGGGTCTGGAATGGAAACTGTGAGGGAGATGCTCAGTGTTAAGG